ATGGCTTAAACCCTTTGACCCAATTTAGCTTTTTGGTGGATTTTGTCAACAGGAGTCAATTGAGCCAACTCAGCTACTTTCTGCATTTTGTGCCGTTTGACTGTTTCCGCTCTATACAATTTTTTTAGTTTAACTGTCTCCTTGCTAGTTTGACTACTTAATCACTTCAGCTATTTAAGCTGGTTATGCTTTTTGTCAAATGAAACTCTAACCCTAAGCTAAGTTTAGCCATCCTAGCTACTTGGCAGTTGAACCACTGATGGTAGATGGTGCAGTTCGTGCAGTTGAGCTGATAAGATAGTTATGCTTTTTGTCTAGTTGAGCCATATCAGCCACTTTGACTATTTGAACTACTTCAACCAATTAACAAAGGTATTGCAATTTGTGCAGTTTCACTGTCTTGTCAAACTAGCGTAAATAACAAAATGCGTAACCTGCTAATACAGTTTAAGAGGAGAAGATGCGTAAAGAACTTAACCAGTTCAACTGCTCAAACTTCAGAAGCTGACTTAAGTGCGTCAACTGCTTAAATAGTCAAACAGGCGGGCACAAATAAAATGCACAAATTGCAAAAGTTACTTTAATTGGTCGAAGTGGTTCACACAGTCAAAGTAGCCTAAGTAGTTCAACTGGACGAAAGCCATATCTAGGTTGATTGGCGTAACTGCACGAACTACACAAGCTACCTGAGATGGTTCAACTGGTTAGATAGGCAAACTAGCAAAGGTAGTTAAACTACAAAAATTGCCCAATATATCTTTATTCCTTAAAAACGTTTAATGGTCGATCCAGCTTATATGGGTCAACAAGACAAAATTTAGAACTAGCAGAAATGTTTAAACTGGATAAGACCAATAGATAGCCCAGATGGTTCAGCCGGCTAAATGTCAATCAAGCAATAACAGTTAAAGTGCACAAACTGCACAATCTATTTTAGTTGGTGGAAGTAGTTCACATAGTCAAACTAGCTTCAATGGTTCAACTAAACAAAAAGCAAAAGTATGATGTGCACTTTGTCTGGTTCGACCATTTAAGCTAGCATCATTTTGTCATATAGGGTAGTTCGACTATTTTAAACTACTTCAACCCATAACGATGCATTGTGCTATTTGTGAAGTTCGACCAGTTTGACTAGTTCGACTACTTAATCATATGAACCAATTAACTTAGTTTGATTATCCTAACTAGTTAAACTACTTAAACCTGAGCAATACCGCACAAATTACACTATCTATCTTAATTGGTCGAAGTAGTTCACATTGTCAAACTAGCTTAAATGGTTGAACTGATTAGAATGCATAACTAGCTTAATCAGTTCAACTGCACAATTTTGGCAATCAAGGTGAAATGATTCAACTAGTTTAACAGTCAAAGGTCAACTGGGAAAAATTACACAATCTATCTGACCTGGTTAGGGTACTTTGAATGGTCAAATTAACTTCAATGAATAAACGACACAAATTGCACAATGTAGTTAAATTTCTTGAAGTAGTTAAAATAGTTATACTATTTCAATTGATTCGACCTGTAAAATAGTCAAACCAGGTAAGACAATTGAACTGCACAGATTGAAAAATCTTTCTTATTTGGTTGAGGTAGTTGAAATGGCTAAACTGCACAAAATGCATAACTAGATTAAATGGTTCTATTGTACAAACTGCACAATCTAGCTTAAGTGGTTTAACTATTTAAGATAGTAACATAGTACTTAGGGCTTTTAAGGCATTTTCACCAGATATCAGTGACTTTGTGTAGATATTATTGTGCAGTAATTTTGGCTTTTTGATATATTATTTCCTGAAATCCAAGTGTCTTTCTTAGTTTCACTCTTTAACCAACTGACCCATTTTAGCTACTCTGACTATTTAACGAGTTTAACTAATTAAGCTTGATTGTGCAGTTGGTGCAGTTGATGCTATTAAGCTAGTTATGCATTTTGTCCAGTTGAACCAATTAAGCATTTGAACTACATCAACCATTTGAGATAGTACAGTTTGTGCACTTTACTTTTTTCGCTAGTTTGATCATTTACAGGGTTTAAAAGGTGACAAACGAGATTTTGGGTCTGATGGAAAGACTGCAAGGCTTCTGATTTCAATATGGCTGATGATTAAATAATCTATTTAGTCAAACCAATTGATGCTAACGATGCTCAAAATAAATTATATCTTGACACACAAACAAACAATTTATTGAAAACTGATTTGAAAAAACCGATGTCCACCGATTGTAATACGTCCAATTAAATAAAACATTAATCTAGCTACATTTACAAATGGCAATGGTGCTGCAAATAAATCATATGTGGATGGAGTTATACAAGCGGCAACATCCGTATTTGTACCTGTATACTGTTTTAATTATGTAATGGGTCATGATAATAAAAAAGAAACCAAATTCTTAAGGTGAAGATCAAAATATGCAGTTACCAATGATTTACATTCCACAGTATATAGTAACAAATTAACGTTTGATGTGGATGGAACATATGAATTTCGTTAAAGATATGTTTGAGTGGGGCTTGTAACACATTTCTACTATAAAGCATATGATTCTTCCTGATGCATTGGTAGGCGCTACACAGAATTCACAGAAAACACAAACGATAAATGGATAGATGTTACATTTTTTTGGAATATTTGGAACATTTACTGGTCATCCCATATCACTTGGTGTAGATAATGGCACTCTCGATGGTGGGCTTTATGCTCAATCAATGATGAAAAAACATCTGACTGATATAAACATATTACATATGAACTTCAAAAAGAGGAGTGTTACAAACTTCAATCATATAGATAAATCACTAAAAAAACAATAAATGAAACTACATCATCATACAAATACTCAACTAAAAGGCTTCGGTCGGTAAAAAAAGCCCATGCGAGGTTCAAAAACCGAAATCTGTCATGCAATTTGTCATCGTCCTTTTTATAGTAGGTGGTACTATAGCTGGAAGGGTATCAAGGAATCCCTTTGTACTTGGCATTTCACCTGGTAAGACTTTAAAAGAAGATCGAATTATGTCGACTTGCCTTTACTACCTATGTAACGATACTCATTAACTTAAGGTCCTTTTTAAGTGGAGTGTCATTTGATAAACAGTTATTTGGACCGATTGAAAACTTTTGATAACATTTTCATAGACAGATGTTCCCTGGTTGATGCTTTTGAGCAACAGTACAAGAAGTAGTTTACTTGTGATGAATGATTTATTAAGTATTATGCTGTTGACATTACTTATTAGTCTCAATATATTGTTCCAATAGTTGTGATAATATTGATAGCTATGTGATTGGTCAGCAGGTAAAGCTTTGGGAATACATGAGTCTCTTTGCAGATTTCAGCTGCTGTAAATCAAACGGTTGGATGCGTAAAGTAAATCCCAAGGTGACATAAACTGAACAATAGCCACGCTCTTAACAAAGCGTTTAGCAAATTCGTTTGCAGCGAATTCTCATATGGACTGACAGACTCCCGTTGGTCAAAATGTTATCGGAATTATAAAAATTAGTATCATGAAAATAGAAAATAGAAAAAAGAAAAATTTAGAAAAAAAGTATCATGAAGAATAGGCGGTTTAAAAGCGTAAGTTGCAATCAGGCGGTTTTCGAGTGCGAAAGGCTTGTGGTTGCGGACTGGCAACAAACGCCTGATTGAAGGTTATAAAAAGCGGTGCTCAGAAAGCCAGCTAATCTGTGATCAAGTGAAATTTTAGTTACATTCAATCTTGTCTTAAATGTGGTTTTGGCGCGCCCCCGTATTAAAGAGAATAAGGAGCGCGAAAAAATGGCCTAATCACAGTTTTAGAGCGAGCGCGATGCGTGGGTCACTCGCTTTTACTTGACACTTGCGTTGTCATACCCCACTGAAAAATTTTGATGGTTAAACAGGGCTTTTCTTCCTTGTTTACCCATCAAGAAGAAGAGTTATGCGATGACAAAAAAAGACAACAACAACAATTGCAGAAGAGACTACGGTGGCACCCCGTTAATACGACCACCGACGGGCCATGGAAATCTATCCGTATTGATGGGAGTAAAAGCATATCACTCACTTGTACTTCACACTCGCGCTCTTTTACTCCACCGATTAACGCAGTCCGACCAAACAGAAGAAAAAACAAGCAAACTGACTAACAAACGGCCGCCACGAACAGAGTGACGGCTGAGGGAACAGTTACATAATTATTCACAGTTTGATCCGTTTTTAATAATCAAAACATATATATAAATAGCACAGTTTCAGTCAATCGAATCAGTAGCTAAAACTTATTTGCAACAACATGTCGAAGCGTGCGAGACATCATCCAGGCTTTTATGCAACATTATTGAATGATGTTCGCCATCGTGGCCTTAATTCGAAATACCGACCGAAGGTAAAACCTACTGTTATGGGCGTTTTAACATTTTACATTTAAGGGACATGTTGCACCTAGAAATAAGTAAATAATGTCAGTTACTTCTACAAAAATGAGAAATGTAACTCAGGAACATCTGGCGATGCTTCATATCTTCCTTATTACAGATTTAGATAGAAGTTTTGCAAAATGATACGAGATTGTGATTAGAATGTTACAAGATCTTGTTTACCTGTCATTCTTAAAGATTTTACACCAAATACAGCTGTTGTTGGAGGTGGCAGCCTTCATTCCCATTGCTAGGAGTAGGAACTGTTGGAAACAATATAAAGTTCATGTACATTATATAATAATACAGTGGGATCTTGATTACTTAATCCTTCCTGAGGGTTAAATTATAGTGAAACAAATCCAATGGCAATGACTTTTTGTTTGAGTTAAATCCAGATCTTTTGTTAAAAAATGCATACTGTCAGGAGAAATAACTACTTTTTCAAAATGTTAAAGAGTATGTACATGAAACTTAATTTACCTTGTAATCTCCTCCCAGGAAGAATTCTAAGTTAACTTTCTGGCCATCAACCACAATATGACCCTCTTTGATGGTGGTATTCACATCACAGATGACATTTATTAGTGA